TGGATTTGTGACTATCCATGTGGTGACAAATGTGTAATTAATAAAATGCTCCGGCAGTAAATGAATCCTAATTGCTGCAGGGATTCTTTACCTCAAGTCACACTTGGTATTCTTGAAAGTATTCAACTAACCAAAGGAACTGAAGAAAATGGGTGTTTTCTGGCAGGCTTTCTGGCGTGGGCCGCTTTTAGCAACTGGAAAAACCAGAGGAGGCCAACATCATGGTTTTATCCTAACACACCTATTGTATGGAATTCCAAACTGGCTACTGGCCTTCGGTTATTGCATGCTGGCTGAGCTAAAAATACGTGGTGCGCTGGAACTGTGCAGAAAAGAAAGCGGAGTTATGCAAGGAACTGATTGTTTTGCTTCAAACTTTAAATCCTTGTTTCAGAGAATCCTTATTTTATAGAATGCTAACAACATTCTGTCCTCCACTTGCAGCCAAACCATCCTCCCAAGCGTGGCAATAACGTAACTACTGAATGACAGAGCTGATAACGCCTTCGTGATTGTGGCCTAGTTTGCATTGATTGTTTTAATAGATAAACCAAAGAATTTCTTTATTTGAGTGCCACGGAAGAATTGATACCATAGAGAAAGTATATGAAGAAAAAACGGTCTTTTTTACAAGCTCAAAATTAAACACAACAGTAACTACACTGTCAGCTCCTGTCAATTTTAGATGCACTGCAATGAGGTAGTAGTTGGACAACATGTGGTCCTGGTACTGCCTGGTTTGGGGTTACACATCCAACAAATGCAAACATATGGTCCTTGTCATGCAATGATATCCATGCAGGCATATTTTTGCCTATGTGAAGAGCTCTGCTTGCTTCAGAACAGCTCTTGATGCAGGCACAAGACTCTGCACAAGCTGAAGTATCTGAGACTAAATGACTAAACTGAGGGGTTTAAACAAAAATAGGCATTTGCTTTTTTCCCTCCGTACAGCCCTGGGAAGTAAAATAAAGCATTCCCAGAACATTCACTGAACTGCATCCTCCAAACTTCTCTGGTTTTCGAGCAAACTGATTATATCCCTGGAATCTGATTTCTACAAATCCCTGATGTGAAGGCACCATGGGCTAAACAAGACAAAAGAAGGAAACTGAGGGAAAAAGTTTGCCTTTCTGGCCATATAAACCAGAAAAGTGACAAACGCAACTACACCACAATGGAAAACTATGTGCTGATCCCACACAACCAATGGGAAAAGCACCGGCCTGTATGGTACTGCTGAACAATAGTGCAAAAATAACTAGGAAACTCTGGCAACGATGGCCCACAGACAGCTTTGGAAGCATGAGGCATCAATAGATGAACTACAAGTAGAACAAATGAATTATCTTAAGCCTACTGAAAACAGGAAACCAAGACACTTTTATTTTCAAACAACATTTATCATCACACCCTCCCCTTTTTTAAGCTGAAAACAGCTAAATTTAACCAAATATTTTTCACATTGTTCACATTTACTTGTGAAATATCAATAGAAAAGTAAGTAGATTTCCTGTTTTTTTTCTCCATCTAAGCCACTTTTTCCACTTAAATTTCCATATAAAGAAACAATAATCCATTCCACAAAGAAACAGAACCATTGAAGCCTGGGAAAACTCAATGTGAAGTGCAATCAGGAAAGGAGTAATGGGAATGTCGTCAGAGGAGGCCAGAACATTCCCCTTGAATTGTATTTCAGAAGCGAGGGGGAAATGACAGTGAACTGACAGTCAGAGGGGAAAAACACCCACCAAAACTAACAGCAGAGAAGTTACAAACCCTGTCGTTGATATGACTCAAGCCTGAGATGAATCAACATCTCTGCTCATCACTCAGGGGAAAGGACAGTGCCAACCCCACACCATGGATGCACAGCACGTAGGATCACTTTTAGAGACTGGCAATTGCATCATGGTTACAGGAATCAACAAGTGTAGGTCTAGATGAAGTGAACAGAGGTTCTGACTTCCACCAACTTAGTTTGCATTTCCATACCCCTACAGTGTATTTCAGTGAAGATATTGTCCAGCTGCATCATGTTTGAATGGGAGAGGAAAAATCAAGTCAGATGTACGCCAAAGTGACTGCAGTGGAGACGTTCTGCTGTTTAAGATCACCTCCGAGAGCTTGTGTTTCTTTCTCTCTCATTTTGCCATTCCTATTGTGTCAAACAAGAAAGCAGCTGCCAAACCCCCTCAAATGAAGTCTTGCTCCATTTCCTCAAATGGACCAATTCCCAAGCCACCCTTCCACACTCAAGTGTGAGTATGTTCCCTTCTCCTGAACACGGAAGGTACATCAGAGCCCAAATCCAAGTGTGTGGAACGATACCCTGCCACCACACGCTTCCTCACGTCTGAGCTTAACCACATCAGCAAGATCTATGTGAATTTTAGTACCCTTATCAACAAGCAAATTTGCCCACTGATTTAAAAGTATTGTTGTATGACAGATAGAATAGGCCGCAGCCAAAATGGAACAGGAAAATATTCCAGTATGAATTCCAGACTCCTCTGGATCTTAAACCTACTGACCCAAGCCCAAAAAGGGATAACCAATCCTCTTGGATCCCCTTCTGACCTCCGACACACACCTTTACTGCGGCATCAGACAAGAAACCAAACACCTTGGCTGCATCTTTCCAGCCTGCCTAAACAATGCTGTAATCTATTCATCCTTGACAAGATATCACAGGCAATAATCCTTTATCCACAAATATCTCAAGTTTGGGGAAAAGAGCTTGTTTCAGCCAGTTTGTCAGAGGCATGAAATAGGCAATATCATGCAAGATGAGAAATCTGAGAAGAATATTTAGTGAGGAATGGGAAAACTGCTGTTATATAACCTAAGAAGCCCAATGTAGTCATGCTTTAATATTTTCCAAAAGCTAAACCATGTTATTCCGTGACTACCTTTAGCATCACACCCTCTTGGTCAAAGACTGATTTAGTTTCTTGCGATGTCACAAGAAGAAAAATGGCCCTGCTATGGAATATGCAAACTAAAAACTTGTTAAATTCTGAAACAGATTTTTCTCATCAGCTGCTTCATTTAAAAACAGCTTCTTTCCAAACAGTTAACTAAGCCTTTTACACTTCCAAACTGGAGTCTGAAACCTGCTATCACTTTTAGTGCCATTATACATTATGTAGCTCTTTTTTATTAGCTCTTTTCCTTTCCGAGGGACACTCAGTATGCATAAAGCTAAACGCGTCTCTAATTATTATTCAGGGTTACAGCCCATGTTAAACAAGTCCTAGAGAAAGGGACATGGGTATGGTTTGGGTTGTCCTGCCAGTGCCTCTCTGAGACCAAAGAGGACAATTGTTCACTGGGATAAGAACTTCATGGCTATTAGAGGGAGACTGAATTGCAACACAATCCAGCGGAGGACATCTGTTCACTTAACCTCCCACCTCATCAAGGGACATCTTTATTTGCTTGTGTCTGCTACGCTTGTCAGGTGCCCACTGATCTAAGTGATGGTCACACGTCGTTTTGCAAGCATGACAAAGCATCTCCGAAAGTTAATTACTGCTGCACTGGGCTTCTTCATCAGAGGCAAACCTGCAAATGGTCTATTTCATTGTACATTCAGGTGTACTGAATCACATCGTGCCCTTAGTGAGGGTCCAGAGTGGAGAGGTGTAAGAATCTCTCTTCAGGTACTTTGCTGAGAGGACCATGGTTTTGGAGGCACGCTCCAAAACCCATTGGAAAAGAGTGAAAATGCCCAGAGATCAGAATTTTTCTCTGGGGGTCCCTATCTCTCATTAGTGACTGCAGAGGAAGCCCAGTGCAGCTCATCTCCTTTCTTAAGCACATTGAACAAGGACCTAAAGCCAAGAAGACCGGTAAAGATCCTGCAGGAGAACCTAGCAAACAGGAAGAGGTCTTTGGCAGCCTTCCCCCATGAGCTGGAGTAAAGTACTTGGGCTGTCTGTGTTTCAATTCTATGTGTTTGAAAAAGGATAACATTACTGCCCCAACTCACAAGGGCACAATAAACACATTAATGATTATTATGCCCTCTGAAAATATGGTAATGAAGGTTGTAAGTGTAAGAACCATCACTGGAAATGTTTCTATGCATTTATTTCCACTTACCAGCTCTCTCTGCTTTGCAGAGCTTCCTTACACAGTGGTCTGGCAGCAGAACTTGGAATGACCCTCGACCCATCCCACCAGCAGCCTTAAAGCGCTTGTGAAAGGGCTCAGCTGATGCACCTTCCCATAACACAGATGCGATTCCGCTTGGCGGGAGCAATCCCCACTTGGTTGATGTCCGCAGAGGATGACGACAGATGCTCCTGGTTTTATTCCTTTAATTATGTTGCACATGCACTCTAATTTCTTAGAGTCTCCTCAATTGCTAAATTCCATTACCACCTCCGTTCCCTGACAGCTCCCCTTGGCACAACAAATACAACTTCAAAATAGGACACAAGGGACACCAACCCCAGGGTACAAAAGCCTTCCGTAATGACCCTGTAGCAGATGAGTGCACCAAGCAGGAAGGCAGAGGCTCCTCTCCAGCCCCAGAAAACAATTCCATAAAATCCTTACAACCATGCTATTTTCCAGCTCACTTTTCCTGCACCATTTCACACGAGGGAGAAGGCTGTACCACCGTCACATCGCTTTTCCTCATTAGCCATTTAAAAGCAAAAAGACTACAATTAAAATCCTTCCAAAAGGATATTTTTCAGTTAACCCTGAGATAGAGCAGGGAGCTAAAACAGGTCCCGCATACCAAGAACGGCTTTAGCCTTAAAGCAGAAAATCACGGTATTTGACACAGTGTGCACAAAGAGCATCAAGTCGTAGAGTACATTGACAAGGAAGTGAGAAAGACAAGGAACAATGCAACTATTGGACCGTTCCTTACTCAGGAATACAAGATCAGGCACATAAAACTGGTGGGAAATAACTAGTTTGCAGGTAAAATGCACAAAGAGAGAAAACCTTGACTGGGAGCAGAACAACAATGTGAACATTACCTTAGAAATTCCCAGCTCAGGTTTTCACTGGGAAGGTCTCTTTGAAGCAGCTGGTTCAGACTCTGCAAATTAGAATAATAATAAAAATATGATTAAGACAAATGCATTTGTTATTCAAATAATTCTGGAACATCTTATAATAAGAGTTACTAAAGGGTAAGCTTTCCCTTTGTGTGGCCCGGTGCTTGCGCAAGAGAACAGGACACATCGGCGGTAGGGACACAGGGGCACTTGGGGTACCTCAAGTACTTTAGCAAACACATGGTTAGTTTAAAAGAAGACACTCGTTTCTCCCCCTCCTTTATTAAATGGGATGAAAAAATGAATTACTTAAAAATTAGAGGCATTTCAAGTAATAGCCCTGCAAATAGAGAAGGCTTCTTTCCTTTTGCAGCACCCATACTTTATGCATTATTTGGGGTTTGGTGTGGGGTTTTTTTTTTTCCTCTCCTTACTTAGTATTAGGCTTGCACTGATCTCATCAATAAGAAATGAATTTTGGTAACTTTCAAAGCCACTATATTATTTTCCCTTTTATTTGTAGTGAGTTTTTCTTCTCTCAGTGGTATTACTGCAATAAGTCAGTCATTATTTCTTTATGTTTTCCCTCCTTTCTTTAGTATTTCATTTCCCTTTACAGCACATCTCGTGATCACAAAGAAAACAGAGACACTTATTTCTTTTAACAGTTGAAATTGCTGCGAGTGATTTAACTGTCATTTAATCTGATTCCTCTCTTCTGTCTGTGGAGAAATATGTTTAATGTAGTGGAAATTATGTTAATAAGAAAAAGCATTATCTCATTTAATGAAATAAATATACAAATATTTCAAAATAAAATAAAGAGGCAATCTGCAGTGAGGAAAAAATGTCTCTTATGGTTTGCAGAAAATAAACAAATGAGAAAAATTAATGAATACATTGAAATATACTGACAAAAATTACGCCTGAACTCAAAGCGGGGGGGGGAGGATGAAAAGAGAAGGTGACTGAATCACATCGCACCTAAGCAAATGCTTTAGAGAAAACACAGACGCAACCTGAAAGGATCAGAGTACAAATTATTGCCTTAAATTATATTATTACCCCTGGCTAAACTTTTCCTTTAAAAAGCCATTATTTTTCCTGCTTTCTTTTGGTTTTATTTTCTTCAATTGGTGCTGAAATAATATTTATTGTTTAAGGAGTGAAATCCTTTTCATCCCACAATTATTTGTGATCCTTTGCCACAAAAATACATATACAACTTCTAGCGAAGAACTTTGAACCCCTCTGATTTACTTAATGGGAACAATCGATAGCTCGATTTGTAAGCTTTTCCATCGCAAAAGCTGCAACTCCCGTGCACTGAGGTTAAACAAATAGTGGTGGTGGTGGTGGGAGAAGAACTTGTGGCAATTATGTAATAAAAGCCTGACCGTTGCAACAGAAACACAGAATGAGGGGTTTAACTACAGGCATCGAAACGAACTAAAGATGTTCACAACAACAACAACCAAAAATCTCCTTTACGACAAACTGATTTCATTTCCCTGTTCTGCAGTTTGAGATCTGAATGCGCTGCTTTCTGTTGTCTTGCTTTTCACAAGTAAACAGTGCAAAACCAGAAGAAGGTATTTGGTGTCATCATTTCGGGTGCAACAGTGGCAGGGATTTGATGAAATCCTGGGTTTACTCTTTCACTGGCAAGAATTAGTGCCTTAAATCCACCCAACAGGGGATATAGGGTGTTTTTAGCTCCCCTTTAAAAAGCAGCAGCAGCGATGAGTGTGCTGGCGTGCAAATTCACCCACGGGGGGATTTCAGTCCCGGGTGTCACACACGTTCGCAAGGCACTCTCAAAGTGCTCCAGTTTCTCTGATTCCCCCTCCTTACACAGTGCTGTGGATCACAACAGCTCCAGCTCAGGCACTTCTGCTACCGGGAATAACTACCAAGAGCAGGATGTGTAAAGAACTCGAGTTACTTTCTGACTTGAAACACGCAGTTTTACTTCCCTACAGTTCTCCTTTCAGTCCATAGGCCTGTGAATCTGAACCTAAGCAGGACAAAAGCTGTGCAGTGAATGCTTGGCGTTAATAATAAGCAGGTTCCCTTCTTATTTTACAAATAAGCTAAAAATCCTTACAGTGACATTCTGAATCCGGCTTCAATGGGGATTTCAACCTGCGATCCCAGAGGCTCCCTTATTCCCACCCAGCCAGCCCTGCCACCCCTCACAGCACCCTTCCATCTTGAGGTCCCGCACCTGATTCCTCTGGATGGGATTCTTAAGCTGCTCGCAATCATTACGCTATATACAAAGCAAACCATGCAGAAAGGGGTTGCTCTCAAGTGCAGGTTGTAATTGGTGTAAAACGAGGAATCCATTTAAACAAGATTCACAATCACTGATATTTTAAAGATACAAAACCAGGCTCTGCCCAGACATCAGGATTTGGGTTTCATGATGCCCCTTCCGTCTCCTGCTAAATTTCAACCCTACAGAAAACATTCCCTACAGCTTTTGTGAGCAGGGTTTACAGAGACATTCAGGAGAGGGTAACCCCATAGAGGCACAGCTTTAGTCCTCTAATTCGAGGTTTTCAGGGCATTTAAGAAGAAAACCCCTAAACCCCATTTTATTTCTTTTATAACTGGAGTGAAGAATGCTCGGCTGTGCAAATGAATTAGGAAATTACTCTCCTGCCGTGAGAAAACATCACGCTGTTACATGCAGATACGCACACAAAACCCCACTAATTCAGGGAGATGAGGAAGAAGGAGGTTTTGTGTAAACCCCTCTTCACTTCAGCAGCGTGAGGGTCAATAACTGATGGCGGTAACTTGCCTTGCAAACATGCAGTGCACCTTGAGAATCCCAACCCAAGATGCAGAGAAGATGCAGCGGCACAAGGGCTGGACATCAAAGGAGTGTCCATGAGGCTCCTGTGGAGGAGCTTGTCAAGTTAAACCCTTGAAAGAAGGGGGACCCCCCCTAAAATGCCTATTCAAAGAGTTTTCCCCACACTGGGAAGAGCAGATGGAGGCAGATGTTCCAGAGCACCTCCAGGTCCTGCCTGTGCTGTGCCAAGAGTGGCTCCAGTCTCCAAAGCGCCCTGGATTAGACCCACAAACCTGGTGAGTTAAAAAGCTGTAATAATCTCATAGATTGCTGTTGTAACAGTGCTTAAGGGAACTGGATCAGAAGCCTGGAAGTGCTGACATTTTTGATTCCAATGTCTTCTGAGTGATGAAAAGCCTATTGACATGAGCAAACCATCTTGACAAGTTACAAAGAGAGAAACCCCCAAATCTCCTTTTAAAACAGCGTCTGTTTTTAAGCAGAGCTCTTTAAACTTGCATCTAAAAACTATCTGCAAGCTCTGCCTGGCTCAAACCTGAGATTTCTCCCATTCAGGAGTTTGAAAGCCAGACATCCTCTTGTCGAAGGGATACTTCTAGTGCAAAAGGTTAAATTTTTTAAGCAAAATCAAGTAAATCAAAGTTCCCCCAAATCAACATTTCTGGTTCTCTTTTGTCCTTTTTAGGAACATCTTTGACTCTTTTCCAATTTCTGGCTCTATTCCTGCTAGGAAAAAAAAAAAAAGGTGGAAGCAAACAGCAAAGCTACTTAAGGTGTTATTCCACAATAAATGTGACTACAAGGAATTTTTCCCCTGCACACCCTTAGAGAACTGAATTCCAGCCATCTTGCACATGAAGCTTTTCTCGGTTTAAGGCTATATGCGGATGAAATCAAACCCAGGACTTATTCCTTACATCTGCAGAGTACATCCACAGATACAGACCTTTTCTACCCATGCTCTGAATGAAAGTAAAATCCCTCCTTGGTGGGTACAGCTTCCACCACCTTTTAGGATCCATAAACTTGTTGAGAAAAAGGATGGCGCAGACAGACCTCTGCATCCACATTACAGCTCCGCTCATCTCTCAGCCCCTCTCACACCCCTTGAGGTCTAGAAGACAGCAATGCCTTGAGAGCAGATAACTCTATATGGTCTGAAAGCCTCCCCGTGCAGAGAAGAGAGCTCCTGTTTCTCTATGGAGAGCCCATCTGGAATCCCAAAGGAGCATTTGCCACTACACCACCTCTGCAGCAAGGCACTCATCCCACCTGAGATGCAGGGATGTTTTTTTTCATCACACCAGTGGCACCATGGACCACAACCACACAGACTTAATGCTTTGTGCCTGTTGCCAGACCTGAAGAAGCCATTGGTTTTTGCCTTGCAATAAGTACGTGCGAGCACAGTTACTTGCTGTGGTTGCTCTTTCAGACCTTTTGGCTCCTGTAGATTGAACATGCCGCTGCAACAAGCTCTGCAACATCAATACAGAGACTGAGAGCTGAAAGTAAAAAGCTAATAGTATCTTACGTGCTTCTGAAGTTTCTCCTGCCTCTTTCATGTAATTCCTTTAGCCTTTTATCAGCCTTTTTAAACATATTTGAATTTATTTGATTGCCACATTTTCTCCCTCTGTTCCTTGAATGAAAAGAATTAATTTGTGCACCTTTGAAGGCAGCTCTCCGCTTTCCCACAATGCAACATGCCATTCTTCCCTCAAAATGGGAGTGGGAAAAACTGGGAGTCATCATTTTCGAGCCTGAACCTCTGCAATGTGCACAAATACTGAATCTAGAAAAACAAGTAGGTGCTTGAAACCAGAGAATGGAAATGCAGCATTCGAATACCCAACTGTGAACGCTGCACCTCTTCACCCCACCTCTTGTTGGTTTAGTATTCCCATTCCTGGAAGTCCACATTATTGCAAACTACACAGTATTGCTTCCATCCACTCTACAGAAACACATCATTAACCCAGCAATACTGAAGTTTCCCCAGAACGAGAGAACAGAGCATTTAGAAACAGGAGGAAGAGGAAAGGTGCATGGGACCTAAGCTTTGCAACCCAGTTTCAGTTACATTATGCAGACTCCAACTATTCATGTGATTTACATCAAAGAGAGCATTTTTAATCAACTCAGCAGAACTAAAGCAGCAAGGGGTGCCAAGGGCTTCTTTTAAAGCCCTCTCGTTGTTTTTCAAGTGACAATTGA